TGGAAATATCTAGATCTAACATAAATCAAACATTATGAATATTTATTTGAGCATACATATTGATATTTCCCTCCTCCTTCTTGCTTGAGATGATAATAATGATGATGGATTACTTTGCTATAATTTAATTCTGGTTCAAATTTTCATTTCAGTTTCAATTTCATTATTACAATACTTTTAAGTAATCATTTCATTTAAAACTTTTCAAAACAAAAGGAAATGAAATTGACAGCAGTAATAGTATCCTTAACAGCAGCAACAGTAATAACAAAGTCAATAACAATAACAATAACAACAATAACAACAATGTCACTAACAGTAACTATTGGCAGCAATAACCATAGTAATATTAACAATAAAATCAATAACAAATAAAAGGGAAAAACAATAACAATAACAATGATACTGACAACAATAACCATAACAACAATAACGATAACGGTAGCAATAACAATAATAATAATAGCACTAACAATAATGATAACAACAGCAATATAAAAACATAACAACAATAACAATAACCGTAACGACCATGACGATAACATCAATAACAACATGACAATAACAGCAACAACAATAACAGTAATAAGGCTTTTTTCTTTGTTAATAAAGCTAATAAGGAGTAATAAGGCTTTTTTCTTTGTTAATAAGGCTAATAAGGAGTAATAAGACTTTTTTTTGTTTTACGTGTAGATTGATTAATTATTATGACATTGTTACATTTCATGAAGGCAATAAAAGCTAATAATTCTATCAATGTTTAGTTTTACTTTTTATTTTGAAACATTAATTTATATAAATTCGTCGAAATTTCAGGTCATTATACTTCAATTTTAACAAATTATTTTAAAATGAAACAGACGAAGACAAACATCTAAATAACGATGTTAAAGTATTTCATTTATTATTTATCTATTTGAATTTTCATGACATAATGCTAATGCTACTGATATAATGATAATGATTAATGATGTTCCCGTGAGCATGCGTTATCAGAACTGGACGAATATTAGATATATAATCTGATAATTCTATGATAAAAAGAAATGACTGTGACGTTCAGATAATTACTCTGACTTCTAGATTATTAGCATATAAATTAGATGTTGCACGACTGAGTGATACCAGTTGTCGGTTTAGTATCCAATTTTTGCCACATTTTTTTTTTCTAAATTCAAGCTCACGAGAGCGAATTTTAGTAACTGGTTATAAAAAAAAAAACTTATGTATTCTATTGATCTATAAAATCTGATCACCGTTTTTAGAGACTGAAAGAAATATCATGTCATTGTTTTTTTCATTAAAACGTAGAAGTCGGTTCCAGATCAACATTTCGGAGAGCTTACTGTGTTTATCTGTAGTATCTATGTTATCTGGAATGAATCCACTAAAAAATTTAAATCAGGAATAGAGTAAAAGTCAATGAATTTCAAGAAATAAAATGAATAGCGGAAAATGATTTCAATTACAATATATATATATATATATATATATATATGTTATTT